CACACAGAGAAAGCAGAAGGGCTGGCCTGGCCATAGCGACCACACGGCAGGATGTGCGGAATAACCCACTTCCTCCCAGGACCTTCACTGCCCCTGAACCCTGTCCGCAGAGCCACAAGTCTTTCTAAACACGGGGAAGGAAGGAAATAATACATGTTTCTCATAACTGTAAGGAAGATCTCTCCACCTGAACCACATGGCCCACTTTGATGCAGCTGGAAATTCCTTCATTCATGTTGTCACTAAAGCTTCATCACATTCTAGAGAAGATTTTCTCCTTCAGAAAAAACGAATAATATGTGGAAATTAAATAACACATTCTTAAATAAGCGATGGGTCAAAAAAAATCACACGGACAATCATAAAATACCTTGAGATGAATGAGAAAAACCCTACAACACAACAAACCTTACGGGATGCAGTGAGAGCCGTGCTCAGAGGGAACTTTACAGCTGTAAATGTCTACAACAAAAACAGGAAGGTCTCAAATCAATAACCTAACTTTACATCATAAAGAAGTACGAAAAAGAGCAAAGTTAACTCAAAGCTACCGGAAGGAAGGAAATCACAGACTAGAGCAGAGACAGACTAAATAGACGATAGAAAAACAGTAAAGAAAACCAATGATGCTGAAAGTTGGTTCTTTAAAAAGGTCAACAAAATTGGCCAACCTTTAGCTAGACAGACTAAGAAAAAAGAGAGAAGACAAATAGTGTAGTGGAGCTCCTGGCTAGAGCAATTAGGCAAGAAAAAGAAATAAAAGCCATCCAAATTGGAAAGGAAGAAGTAAAACTCCTTATGTGCAGATGATGCGATCATACACATAAGATCCTAAAGAACCCACAAAGAAGCCACCAGAGGTGATAAAGAAATGCAGCAAAGTTGCAGGACACAAGATCAACATGCAAAAATCAGTCGTATTTTTATACAAAAGCATTGAATGATCTGAAAAAGAAATTAAGAAAACAATCTCATGTGGAATAGCCTCAAAAAAATAAAATACTTCGAAAAAAATTTAACCAAGGAAGTGCTAGACTTGTGCACTGAAAACTATAAAGGTTTGCTGAAAGGAATTAAAGAAGATTTATATAAACGGAAAGACACCCTGTGTTTGCAGATTGGATACTGTTAATGTTAAAATGTTAATACTTCTGGGGCCGGCCCTGTGGCCGAGTGGATAGGGTCGCAGGCTCTGCTTCAGAGGCCCAGGTGTTCACGGGTTTGGATCCCGGGCACAGACATAGCACCACTCATCAGGCCATGCTGAGGCGGCGTCCCACACAGCAGAACTAGAAGGGCCTACAACTGGAATATACAACTATGTACTGGGGAGTTTTGGGGAGAAGAAGAAGAAAAAAAAGAAGTTTGGGGGTCAGCTCGGTGGTGCAGTGGTTAAGTGCGCACGTTCTGCTTCAGTAGCCCAGGGTTCCTCGGTTCGGATCCCGGGTGTGGACATGGCACCACTTGGCAAAAGCCATGCTGTGGTAGGTGTCCCACGTATAAAGTTGAGGAAGATGGGCATGGATGTTAGCTCAGGGCCAGTCTTCCTCAGCAAAAAGAGGAGGATTGGCAGCAGATGTTAGCTCAGGGCTAGTCTTCCTCAAAACAAAACAAAACAAAACAAAAACAAAAAAAGAAGTTTGACAACAGATCTTAGCTGAGGGCCAATCTTGAAAAAACAATGTTAATAGTTTTTAAAGTGCTCTAACCATTCAATGCAACCCCCATCAAAATTCTAACAGCCATCTTTGCAGGAATGGAAAATGCAATATTACTGTTCATATGGAATTGCAGGGACCCTGAATAGCCAAAACAATTTTGAAAAAGAAGATCCATCTGCCGTCCGTCCTCCTGGGACCATCCCTAACTAGAGAGCTGTGTGCCTGGTGCCTGGAGTCAGGGTCTCAGTGGTGGCAGCCCCCTCTGCCAAGAGAGGAGTCACCCAAAGCTGGCCCAGCCATGTCACCCCCAGCGCTCATGCAGAAAGGAGCATATAATGCCTAAAATGTTCATCAGTCCAAAGTCCCACAAAATTTCATGTGCCTGCAGTTTCCTTGAAGTCCCTGAAATGAGCTTGTTTTCCCCAAAGCTGAGCAGGGGGAGCCATTGAGAGAGCTAGCAGACCCTGGCCTGGGCCTTCAGGGAAACCGAGGGCTCTCGGAGTCCCACAGGCCTTAGTGGCTGTGAAGGCAGCGAGTGTCATCCCTGTGGCCAGGTGGCAGCCAAGGTCAAAGTACAAAGCCACACAGCCGGTCGCTGGTTCCTCAAAATGTGGGTGCTCTGAGTTCACATGAAGCTTCTCACCCACACCTCTTTTCTTTTTACTCCTCATAGGAAAACTGCAGAGCTGGGCCGGAGGACACAGGAGCGCCTTCCTGCACAGACAACGCCCCGAGCTCCGGCAGCTGCCCGTGCCACACTGGCCTCACCGAGGGACCAGTGGGAGGTGGCGTGTAACCCTGCTCAGAGTGCTCAAGCACTACCTGCTGCCGGGCCCTGACAGTGTGAGGCCTTTGGAGCTCTTCCGTCCCGGGAAGACTCGGGAACTAAATTCCTGTTGATGCTGTACAGGTTGCTTTCCAGCCGTGGGAATGGGGTCAGGGATGCAGATAGAAGGAAGCCGCTAGTGGGGCTGGTGGGAAGAGCCCCTCTGATAAGGATGCTTTGGGTCGAGCTGGAGGAGGAGGGCAGGGGCGGCTGGGCCCGGAGTGTGGAGGACAGACTGTGAGCCCCAGGGTCTGGGAGGAAAGGCTCCGCCCCTGACCTGCTCCCCCCAGACTTTGATGTCCTTTGAGATCAGCTTCTGGTCTGGTCTCCCTGGGAAGGCCCCAGGCTAGGTCAAGCTGGACCAGAGAGAACAGTGGAGGGGAGTAGGCCCACAGTGGAGCCCGATGCCGATGTCCCCTACCCACCTGAGCCTGCATCTGAGGGAGTAGTGTGCACACGAGCCAGGCAGTGTGGTAACCAAGGGACTCTGGGGTCACCGTGTGGAGTCACCCCAATGTCAAGGCCTTTTGTACCAGAGGAAGGAGGCGCAGAGGGAGGGGGAAGGGACAGAGGTCTCCAGGCAGCATGAGAGGAACAGCAAGTTGCCCAGGCCATGGCCACAGAGCCCACGGCTGCAGAGCCCACAACCCACGGCCACAGAGCCCACAGCCATGGAGCCCATGGTCCACAGTCCATGGAGCCCACAGCCCACAGCCACAGAGCCCACAGCCATGGCCACAGAGCCCACGGTCCACAGTCCATGGAGCCCACAGCCCACAGCCACAGAGCCCACAGCCATGGAGCCCATGGTCCACAGTCCATGGAGCCCACAGCCCACAGCCACAGAGCCCACAGCCATGGAGCCCATGGTCCACAGTCCATGGAGCCCACAGCCCACAGCCACAGAGCCCACAGCCATGGCCACAGAGCCCACGGCCCACAGAGCCCAGCAGCACCTGGGCGCCTGGCTCGGTTATGTGCACTTTGAAGCCATCAGAGAGAAAAGCGCCAGAATGCTCCATGGCCTCCATCTTATTCTTACAAAACCAGGCAACCCTTCAATCAATTATAGACCCGGAAATGCATTTTGAGAGTGAATTTTAAACCCCAGGGACCTGGGGCCTCCCCAGCAGGAGAAAGGAGATAATGAAATCCTGCCACCCAGGTCTGTGTCGCTGCAGAATGCCACCGGCCCTGGTTGCTACGTGGCAACGCGTCTGCTCGCTGGAAATCACACGATGTGGGAGAGCCTCCGGCACAGGGCACCTTATCTGCTTAAACAACGTAGGGCATTGTTTCACCTGCCTCAGAACTAGTGCTTCTGACGATTTCGATGCACACTGAGGGCCCTTCAAACTCAGAGCCAGAGAGAGCTCGTGCAGAGGGGCTGGGTGTCCAAGGCCCCCTAACATGGCCACAGCCTTACAGCGGGAGCAGCTGCCCCTCACAGGGACAGCCTGGGCGGTGCCCTCATGGGGATCCCCAGCGAGAGTCTTCTGAAACACCCAGGAACCCCCACCCCTGGGGTCCAGGGCAGCCTCTGACCCAGGTGTGTGCTACCATGGGGGGGCTCACTCTGGGCAAGCTTCACAAGTGGCTCAAGGCGAACATTCATGGAGGCTCAGATGACCTCCCAGAGGACGAGGGCAGGTTGGACGAGCTTCGGGTAGGTTGGTGCCCAGGTTCAAGGCCATAAAGGCCAATCTGAGTCTGGCTTTGGCGACTGCAGTGTCTGGATTCAGTCCTGGTCCAGAAAAGCAAAGAGCAGAGCCAGTGGAACTCTGACTGCCAAGGACGGCTGCCCAGGGACGGGGACAGACGTGTTCCTGTCTAACAGGCTTGTGATCACTCCTTGACGGGAAGTGAGCCCAGACAAGCTGACCTCCTAGGATTTCCCTGGCTCTGGACTCCGGGAGGGATGGAAGGAGGGGACCACAGCCCTGCCTTGTCCTGCAGGGCTGGCTGGGGTTCCCACCAGCCCCCAGGCACGTCCACCGGAAGCCCTCCCTGCTCGAGGAAGTAACAGGATGACTGGCTGGAGCAGGGGGCTCGTTCCCAAACCCGCCTCCCACCCCAGACAAAAGGCCCAGGCCGTGCAGTCACCTTGAAATCAGCGACTGAGCTGCGTTGGTTTCCCCCAGCTGAGGAGCCCGCGTCTTAGCTCGCTGAGACCACGAGTAAGCCCAAGCCAAGACTGGAGCCCTGACTCATGATTCCCAGGGCCATCTCCACGCACGGCCACCCTGAGGGGGTGCAGGGGGCCTCCCGGTGGTAACTCACAGCAGGGGAGACATGCCTAGCAAGCACACGACAGACACACTGGCCTCCCCAGACCCACCAGCTCTGCCCATTGCACCCGCCCTCCTCCATCCCACCCTGCCTACCCCTGGCTCCCCACCCCGAGCACCCACAGACCCCAGCCTGCGTCTGGCCATCTGTGCCCTGGAAGGAGGTCCAGGGCAGGCCACTCGGAGCCCAGTAGCAGAGGGGCCGTGCAGGTGCGGCTTGGGTACCTGAGCAGGGGCTGCTTGTGGTCGGCTGGCTGGTCTGGGCTGGGGCACGGTGGGGCCTTCTTGGTCACCTGCTTGTAGATGTTCCTGGCGGTCACTCCGATCCACAGCATGGTGGAGAGCGTGGAGTAGTGCAGGAGGATGCCCACCTGGGAGAGAGAGGTTCGTCAGCCCAGCCACCCCTCCACCGTGTGCAGACCCTGAGGCCGCGCACTCCCTGGACCCTTGGGCGGAGCCCTCCCACACCCTCTGCATCCTCAGAAGACAGCTCAGTGATGACAGGAAATGAGGCCAGCGGGAGGGCACTGGGGCTTTTTGCTCAGGGCAGACCCCACACTTCATGGGGGCCTCAGAACTCGAGGGAGACATGTGGGCACAAGGACCTGGCACAGGTTAGCTATGCTCTCCTGCCGAGGGACAGGGTGAGGACCCCGTGCGCCCTAGAGCACAACATCACTGGGCTCGGTCCATGTGGGGTCCTGCAACATATGTCCCTGTGCAGCGTGGACACCATCCCTGCATGGGGGCCAGTGTGCACACATCCCTGTGGTTGGCATGGCCTGCGCGGGACCCGTAGAGCTCCAGGCAGGCTTGCCTGGGCCCAGGCCCACAGGGCGCCCACCAAGTGAAGGGCAGTGTGGTCCCGCAGCCGGGGTCTCTCCAGTACACAGAATTTGTGACACTGCACGGGAGATAAAACACCTCTTGAATCAGATGCTGAAGCCGCTCCATGCAAGTCGAGTAGCTAATTACTATGGAAACAGCCACCAAGTGTGTCCCACCCCCGGCACTTACCGCATTAGCTAATTAGGCATTCCGTCCTCCTTCCTCTCCATCTGACTCTATAAACTGAGGTTACCTTTGAAGTGATAACCTGACATTTCGCAATGACAAGTAAAATATGGTGATAATTGGAAAGGACATGAGCGTTTAAGAAATACAGAGATTCTCTGAATAAAGCTAACGTTGCGCCATTGTAACGACTATCGAATCCAGAGTTCAGTTTTTACTTATGAGAAGACTCCACAGTGATTGATGAGACCCTTGTGGGGACGGTGGGGAGACCCAAGAGCTCTGTTCTCGGTCTCGGATGGCCTCCTTGCATGTGGGCGAGGCTAGCCTTTTCCTCAGCCTGGCCTATGCCTCATGAACCTCGAGCTCCATCCAGGCCTCACCCCAGCCTGGCCAAGAGGGGGAGGCGCTGGAAACCGGGGGTAGGGGCAAGAACTCTGCCCCTGAAACAGGAGGAGAAAGTGGGTCCTCCTTGGCCTGGGCTTCGAGTGAAGGACAGTCTGACTTTCTTTTCAGGGGATAGCAGTGTGGCTGTCATCATGTATAAATAGAAACAGTCAGAGAAGTGTCCTCAGAAGGAGCCTGACCTCTGGCCTGGTGGGCTGACCCCGCGAGGAGGGGAGGGAGCACCCAGGGCCGGGAGGAGTCTCTTGGAGAGAGCGAGTGCAAGGGAGGAGCTCGTCCCGGCTGTGCACCTTTGGGGTTTATGAGGGGATGTGAACAGCAGAACTCTGCCTCCCAGACCCCGGCTTAGGCTGGACACATGGAGAGGTCACGGGGACACTGCCCTGGCTTCCAGACAGAGCTCTGCCACCGTCCCGGAAGGAGGCCGCCAGCCCACGCTTCCGGACGCAGGGCCAGCGCTGACGCACATCTATTATGTGGGAACAACGGCGGCCGTCTGTCTGATGTCATTTAGTGCTTTAATGAGGCTCACGGTCATCTTTCAGTTGCCATGACAACCGTCTGTTCTCTCTGCCATCCAGAGCTTTGGACCACTTCTCGTACATCATTTCACTGTGACGCTGAGTGACTCTTGATGGGGAAGATTGGCCGGAAGAGTCCTATGTTCAGACACCAGGTGGTGGTGAGGGTCCCTTGTGGGGCAGTCCTGGCTGCTGACCAGAGGGAACATTGACTGTAGGGAATTGGCTCATGCAGTTGTGGAGGCCGAGCAGTCCGAATTCTGCAGTCAGCGAGCCACAGACCCAGGAGAGCTGACGGTGTAGGTTCCAGCGTGAGTCTGAGCCCAAAGGAGGGAGACCCCTGTCCCAGCTCACACAGTCGGGCAGAGGGGATTCTTTCTTACTCCGCCTTTTGTTGTAGTGGGTCCTCGACGGATTGGATGAGGCCCACCCACACTGGGGAGGGCCATCTGCTCGACCCAGCCACCGGTTCAGATTTTCACCTCATCCAGAAACACCCTCACAGACATGCCCAGAATCATGTTTGACCAAATATCTGGGCACCCCGTGGCCAGTCCAATCGACATATCACATTAACCATCACACCTTCCAACAGTCTAGTTTTTAGCCTGAGCCTCCTCCCTTCTCCAGTGCGTGGTGGACGGAGCCGAGCTGCGGGGTGATAGTGCCCGACACCTCTGCTGGCATCTGCAGAGTGCGGCCGGAGGTAAAGGAACAGGAAGAAGGTCACCTTGAGGGCTCACTGAGGTCTCCACCACACCTCACTGCCCAACGTGCACCCAGCTTTATTCTTCTCTCTGTGGGCTCATTTCTCATTCTGCACAGGATGGTTGCTTCCAGCCTCTGCCGTCTGTCCCTCCCTATGGGGATGCAGGCTCCACACAAATGGAGGAACAGCTGTGGGTTTGCTCTCGGCTGCACCGGCACCCACAGGCCCCCAGTGCTTTTTTGTGAATGAATGAGTGAATGAATGAATGATGCCCCTGCTACCTTCTAGAAACATAGTCAGGTGGTCAGGGCGCATCTCCAGTGCTCCGGGGCTGGCTTCCTCTGGTGGGGCCCTGAGGGCCGTCACCATGAGATAATCGAGCATCTCTCACACGAACACGATCTACACAGATCTTGCCTCTCTCTGGCCGCTCCAGGCCTGCACCCGCCTCCCACCCGCCATGCACCTTGGTGCCCATCTCGGCTGAGCTGGCCAGGCCTTGGACACCACGAGGATGCCTGGCCTCTAGGAGCCTCCACCTGGGCTGGAGATTTGGGGGTCCCGGGTTTTTGGGAGGTGGGGACGGGGCTGGGGTTCCCCGAGGTGCTGAGGAGCCTGGCGGGCGGCTGCACACCCGATTCCAGCAGCTCCTTGTGACAGGTCCCAGCACATGGAAGGCTCCTGTGGCAAAGTGCGGACAGGAAGGTAACAGTCCGTTTTATTGCTTGCAGACGGCTCCGCAGCTCGGCAGGCGTTTACTGGTAGAACGTAAATTGGATTTCCCGGGACGCTCGCTGTGGTTGTTCCACGCTTATGGAAAGGCACAAGGAAGCGTGTCTGCCCCTCAGTGAGGTTTTCAGGTCTGTGCTGGCAATTTGTGTGCCAGAGCCCAGGAACAGGTGGTAGAATGGGCTTCCTGAGGGCATGGGTGGCCCTGACGTGGATTTGCAGGGAGCAACATCTCCTCCATGAGAGGAGCCTGGGGAGGGACCCTGGGCCCCGGGTTCTGGAGCATGGTGCTGTCTTGTGGTACCTTGCTGCGGGCAGGCTGGTGTGGGGAGCTCACAGCACGATTCCTCCCTGTGCCACCCCGCAGGGACAGCTTCTTGCCCATCCATCTCCAGGGTGAGTTGCCAGCCACTGCCATCTGTGTAGGCGGACAGGTCATCTCGTGTGGACATGGCCATCCAGGTCAGTGCCGGCACATGTGGGTCCCAGGTAGTTAGGCTGCAGGAGCCCCACAGCCATTGATAAACACTTGGTGAATTCATAGCAGCCCCAGCTATGAGGGAGTAATACCCATCCTAGTGGGGCCAGCCAAGAGCACTCCCTCCACGGGACCCAGGCAGACGTGCACCCGCGGAATGACAGACACAGAAGGGGTGAGTCCTTGTAAGATGCTCTGGGGTCTGTGGGGAAGTCCTCACCTGGCCCCTGCCTGGGTGCTGGAGGGGACTGACCACCTGGGCTGAGCTGGGCTGTGAGCAGGCGGCTGGGCAGGAGCTGGAGGGAGGAGAGCAGGGAGGGGCCTGGGTGTGCGGCTGCAGAGGCCTGCTGGGCTCCTCTCTGGGGCCCTGCACCACACCCCACAGTGTGAGGAGCCAGGCTCACAGTCTGAGGAAGGGCCTCTCCTGGGCTCTATTGGGAACTGAAAGGTAGTTTATATCTTCCCTCTTTTAAAAGAAAGGTCAGGCGGGGCCGCGGGTGGGAAGAAGACCTTTCCACGATTTGTTCTCAGTCCTCCAATGCTTCGAAGCTCTTCTTGTCCCTGAGTCGGGGCAGAACCTCCCACAGTGAGGTCTCCAGCATCTGTGGACTCTTACCCGGGCAGGGGAGCAGGGGATCCCGTCCCCGGGCTCCTGCCCCACCAGTCTCTGTGGGAGAGGCAGTTCACGTCCCTATTCCCAGGACAGTGACTGTCTAGTTAGCATGTCACCACAGGCCTCAGAGCAAGCTGGTCTAATTGAAAAATAAATTATTTTACACGATCGAATGCTGAGCAAAATAATCAGACTCACGTGGGGAGAAACTGTAATACAGACACTCTGGATGCTTACCTATTCCCCTCGCAAGAAGCATCTGAACAAATTCTCGAATATTATATCATAAAGCAGACAATTGTCACAAATTTCCCCTCTGGTAACAGAGTTGACAAACACTTTAAAGTTTGTAGCAAAATGAAGAGGCAGACAGCACTCACCGCCTGGCACAGGATCGGGTACTTGGTGCGATTAACGCCGCCAGCAAACACCGTGAAGGTCAGAGCCGCGTGGAAGCAGAAATTCAGGAGCGTGTGCCGGCCTTTCCGGCTGATCCGGATGGCGCTGCGGGAAACAGAGATTTCACATCAGGAACTGGCATCTTAGGGCAAAGCGTGGAAGTGAACTGCCACATCCGCCCACGTGGGGACTGGGCTGAAGACCTCACTAGTGTGACCGAGACAGGGCCAGGAGTAAAGCACCCGAAGGACCAGATTGAGAGAAAGGTGGATGGACCGTGCTGGGTCCACTTCTAGTGTGTGGCCACTGGGTGATTTGGTGTTGTCACCCTGGGATGCTATGACTGGAAAGGTTTTTGAGAAATTTTGAACAACCTGGTTACTGGACAGATGAGGACATTGGGGCCTAAGACTTGATGACTTGTCCAGTGATGGAGACAGAGGGTTGGGGGGAAACTCTTGGTCAGGCCTCTTGGATCCCAGGATGGAGTCTCTGAGCAGATGTCTGATCCTCAAGAAGAGGCCACGACTGTGACTGGCTACGAGTTTGAGTCCCTGGACCAGGACGCTGGCATGGCTGCGACCCGATCCTTGACCATCCTCCGCCCCCACCTGCGGCCACAGCGGAGATAGCCTATGCCTGCAGCTGACTATGGCCACAGCTTCTCTGTGGCCTTGGACATGACCAGGCCTCTTCCCCTAACTGTGGTTATGGTCATGGCCTAGGCTTTGTCCATGACTTTGGTTATGAGCTGGACCCTGACTGTGGCAGGATCCTCCTCACATATCCCAGCGCATCTTCAAGTGATACAGACACACTCAGGTCATGTCCCCACCCCTGGGCAGAGGTGGCCAGGAAACCAGCTCAGGAGCAAACCGCCTAGACTCCCTCTCTAGGTAAAGGCACAGTCTGAAGGTGCTTGCGGGCTCTGCCAGCTACTCAGCTTCCCAAGGACATAGGCTCTCGGGGCCTGAACAATCCTGCACCATTGGAGGAAGATCCTATTTCCCCTGATTGGATAAGAACACGGAGGCTGCTGTGAGGATCCCAATGGGGGCCCGGAATGGGAGGGCATGGCTGTCCCTCAGCCACCCTCTGCCACCAGGGCCACCAAGTGCTGGGCAGGCTCAAGCTGGCTGGCGACCAGTGAAGGGCCCTGCAGGGCCTTCTTATTCTGTGAGGGTGGGGAAGCTCCTCCAGGTGGGGAGTCTCGGGCAGGGCGGGCCTTACCTCCGGTGCACCATGTAGGTGACGACGGAGATGAGCAGGCACAGCAGCATGACGGCGGTACAAGCATACACCACGGGGTGCAGGAACTCCCCTGGGTCCTGGGGCAGGGAGAGGACGGCCTTCAAATCCTGGAAAGACACAGCGCAGACCCATGTGAGCAACGCGGCCAAGAGCCTGTGACATGGCAGAGCCACCTGGGTTCTCCCTGGCGCAGCCTCTCCCCTGCAAGGCGCTCCAGGCGTTCTCTGCATCGGGTGGAGATTTGCTGGGTCTCAGCTGAAACAGATAGCTTGCCTGGGGCAGGGGAAGGCCTGCTCAGAGGAGTGCTCTAGGCAGGTGGAGCCACGGCCTCGCCGGCTATCCACGTGGGGTTGGCTCGCCTCCAGCGGGCCTGCTCAGCCGCAGGCATCTTTGTGGGGCTCTGCTGCGCTGGCCATCCACCTCCAGCCTCCTTCCACCCTGGCATCGCCAGGGCAGGCAGACGGGCGCCCGGCTCCCGTGGAACACGCCCATCTGAAGGCACCACACCTGCCCCTGAGGGTCTTGATGGAGCCATGGAGAGGCACCAGCACCAATCAAATTTCCCCAATCAAATTTCCCCAGGCTCCCGTCTGAGCCTCACACCCACTGAAATTCTGCTTTTAAACATCCCCCAGGAGAATTTTGTATCAGGCTTCAGTAAGTCCCATAGAGCTGACTCAAGTTGGTGGAGAAGGAGGAGAAGCCATGAACCCATGACGTAGGCCCGAGAACCGCTGGGAATCACCAGTTCCACTGCGTATCACAGCAGCCCCAGGAAAGGGTTGAAGGTCAGAGTTCAAAGGAGAACACATTTTTGCCTGCGAGGATATAAAACTGAGGGCAGAGTGCCCTATTTGGACACGTTTGGAAAAACAAAGGTTTTGTCAGGAGCCTTGCCACATCCACCTCTGACCTCTGACCCTCTGACCTGTACCAAGCACCGTTCTGGACCCTTCATCTGCTATAACTCACTGAGTCACATGAGCACCCGGCTATGGACTGAACTTTGTCCCCACAATTCCTAGGTTGAAGCCCAAATCCCACGTGATGGTATGGAGATGGGCTTTTAGGGAGGTGACGAAGGTTAGATGGGGTCACCAGGTGGGCCCAGATCCCACAGCAGGAGAGACACCAGGAGCACACACACAGGGCAAAGGCCATTTGCGGACACACACAGTGAGAGGGCAGCCATCTGCTGCCAAGGAGAGAGGCCTCAGGAGAAACAAGCCTTCTGGCACCTCGATCTTGGACTTCCAGCCTCCAGGACCGTGAGAAAGAAATCTCTGTAAACAGCCCAGTCTGTGGCAGTTTGTTATGGCGCCCCAGCAGATGGGTGCATGCCATCAGGTGGGGCTCTGCTTGCCACGTCCAGGTCAGAGGGTGAAGTCCTCGCTTGCTCCCAGCCCATTTTCTGAACCATGTGCTCTGCTCCCAAGGCCCCCAGGGACTTGCTCTGCTCCGGGAGGAAGCCCAGGGGCTGGTGCCCACTGGCAGAGGCTGTGCCTGGAGGGGGCTGCCCAGGTGTCCCGTGTGAGACCACCCTGGGCTGCTCCAGCTATGATGACAGGTCTGGTGGTCGGGGTTGGGGGCTCTGCAGTCTTACTGATCCCATTCCTCCAGACGGCAGCGGTGGTGCCCACAGCTCATGTACCTGCCCCAGGCTGGGAGCGGCTACAGATGCAGAATCAGTGCCTCCCTGGGCAGTCGCAGCAGCTGGACGCAGCCGGCCACTCCTCCAGGATGGTGCCCAGGTGGCGTCACGCAGGAACTGGAGAGAAACGCCCTGGTGAAGGGCACTTGGCTTGTGCCTGAGGGGGAAGCAGGAAGACAGCATGTCCGAGAGCTCAGCTTCTTCCCCTCCTGATGCGTGATTTCTTGTCAGTCCAGCTAAGCTAAGGGCCTGGCCAGCTGGAAAGTGTCAGACCTGCTCAGAGGGCACTCCAGGGAGAGCCGAGGGCCACCTGTGCCCAGCCACCACTTCTGCACTTTGACCCGGGGCAGGGACTTTTAGGAAGTGGTCTCTCTGCTGTCATGGAAACAACTGATGGAATCCGGTCACCAGGGAAAAGGCACTGAGTGACCTGGATGCCAAGGGGACTCCTCACAGTCTGAGAAATGAAGCCAGAAATAGCACCCCTGGTCCAGAATAGCAGATGACCAGACACGACCGAGGGAGGGGCACATGTCACTGGGCAGACCAAAGGGTGGACACCACGGTGGCCCCCATGCCTCAGTCCTGACCATCCATGGACCAGGAAGTCTGAGGCCAGGTGTGGACAATGCACAGAACACTGATGACGCCCATCTGGACTACACGGGGCTTCAGCAGGACTCACGCTGTGCACACAGCCCAAATTCCCATGAAACCATCAGCTCGGGAGAAAGACGGCCAAGAGAGGCCAGGCTCAAGGTGATAGGGATGCTGGGCTTCAGCACCCCCATGGGAGACTGGAGGTCTTGCCCGCTCCAGCCAACCAGGAAGGCCACCCACGCTCGACCCCGAGACAGGGTCTGCCGTCCATGTCCCTGCAGGCCTGGCGCCAGCTTACGAAGGAAGACCCTTCTGGTCTTAGACCCACGCCCAAGGGAGGCATCTTCCTAAGAGGGATGGGGGTGGCACCCGCTGGGCTCTCTATTCTGCAACAAGGAACCTTCGCCTGTGTGAGGACAGGCTTCTGTGACAAGGGACGGAATTGCCTGTTGGTGAAGAATGGTCGTTCCTATGAAGGAGAGGGCAGAGCCGGGAGGCCGCAGTGCACTGCTTGTACTTTCCCACAGACGTCCTGGCCTGCTGGAGGCACTCACACATCCTTCCTTGGCATCCTAACTTCTGGAGCGTTTGCCATCGAGCAATGGCAGGAAGGGGACCCTTGTGGCCCGAGAGAGTTTCAGGGTTATCCTATATGTGTCACAGTTCAGAGGCACCAGCTTCCTGCCAGATGCAAACACTGCAGAGGTCGAACAGGTTGAGGAAAGGCTGCTCTTCGTGGTTGAATCCTGACATCAAATTATCTTTTCACTCCCCGTTTCTTCCAAGAGCTGTCTGCTGCTGGCGAGTGGAGGATGCCCCGGGAGGTCACAGGCATTCAGGTCTGACTGGGCACCGGCAATGTCCCCGGCCTGTCGTGTAATTCTTGGCATGGGTTTTTCCCTCCAGTGGCATCAACCCAGGGTCTGAAAGCCCTAAGCCCTCTTCACAAAAAGCCCAGTTGACCTCTATTGCTGGTTTCACATCTGTATGCGAGAGAGATGCAGCACGCAGTCCATCCTGTGTCCAGTTCTGTCGCCGATTCTATCAGGACCAATGCGGCTCCCTTGATGGCTCCCTCATGCTGAAGTGTCCAGGTGGGTCCACCCCATCTGAGGACTCACAAGTCCCTTCTCGGCCTTTTTTGGGGGGCGCTGTTGCTGGTGTGAACACCCTGGACGGGCCTCCAGACCCCTGACTCCTGGCTGGGGAGTGAGGGTGGGAGAGGGGAGCCAAGCAGACTTGGGCATCCTAAAGCCGTGTTGTGCGCAGTGACGCCTGATGCCCTGTGTCTGCGCTGCGTCCTCGTGCATCCATCCCCAGGATCGCAGGAGCGCATCTGGTGCCCAGGACCCGCGTTGGAAAGCTTGTGTTCAAACACATCTTATCTGACAGTTTTATTCATGTACACAAAGTTGCCTTATTTTAAGCCAAATAAAAAGCCAGAAGGGTTTTCCTGTAGCAGGTAGACATCTCAAAGCACGAGGTCAAGGTGCAGAGGTGTCTCCGGACAACACCAGGTCAGTGCTTACACGGCCGTGAAGTCCTTTCACCTCTCACCTGGCACAAGGCAGGCATCCGACCCGCGGAGCAGCTGCACTCACAACACATGTTCTATAAGGAACAGAGATTCAGATCCATTTGGACTCCAGTTTTCTTTCTTTCTCCAAATTAGAGTTATCCACAGTGCTTTCTACGTTTTTAGAGGTGACGTTTAGAATCCAAAGTGGGTCATGCAAAATGTAGATGCAGTTTACACTTTAAAGTTTGCACACATGCAAGTTCCTCTTGGAAGAATCTACGGTGCAAGCGTCCCATGGGCAAAGTCCTTATGATTGTCCAGCATGTGGTCAGAGATGGACCGACGTCTCCAGAAAAGTCCCTCGGAGGCCAGGGAACCAGCAGCGCCCTTCGGACCAGCAGCAGTGGGCGGAGCATGGACCTCACAGTGGAAAGGCTGGAGAGCAGTCCAGAGAACCATGGGGCAAGGAGGGCGATGGAGGCAACCCCAGCCTCCATGCCAGCTGCCGCCCTGCCCCGCTGTGGGGCTGGAGCCCGAAATCCACACTCACTTCTGCGCCTGCGTGATGCCGGTGGGATTGCTGCAGAAGCAGGTGATGATGTCTCTCCTTCTCCTGGGAGCCTGGCCTTCGTCCTCCCACAGGCCGACTGTGTTCCCTGAGGAGCCCACTGCTGGGCGCCGGCGGTCCATGAGCACAGCAGCCCTGGTGCACTGGTTGTTCTCTTGAGGCATAACTTCCTTCGACATTTTACTGTCATTTTAGTTGGACATTCCTTTTTGGCATGTTCTGCAAATCAAATGAATCAGGATGCGAAGAAAGGAGGACAGGGGTCACTTGAGTCATGTGTCCCCTTTCCCAGCAATGTGTCACCCTTTTGCCAACCGTGAGACCTGGAAGGTGGCGTCTTCCCCACCAGGGGAGCAGGCGTCTGCGGTGTCACTCCTGCACAGTGAGGCGTCCACAGGCCAGGCCTGCAGCGTGGGCTACGAGGGACGGGTCCTTCCTCCCAGGTCTGCACCAACCCCGACTGATGTCATTACAGCCTGAGGTCCCTGGGTTGCCTTTTAATGACAATTGCACCGTATTGATCTGCCAGCCTTTCAGGAAAGTGTTCCCCGGGGGAATGCGGAGGCAAAGGTAAACAATTCCTGCATTGAGAGCACGGGTTACCCTAACTGGACATCGCACTTACATGGTTCTCACGGTTTTCTTTGGGGTGTGTGGGCTGGTAGAACCATGAAGAGCTTTGGGGAAAAATACATTGAGAAAGAACGTAGAGACTTTCCTTCTTGATGGGGCTACTTGCTTGGAACTGTGAGCGTTACCGGGAAGTGCCAGGCGGGTGGCAAACTCTCCCTTTGTGGGATGAAGGTGGTTTTATAAGCGTTTAGAAATGTAAATATTGGACTGAATAAAAAGCAACAAACTGAAAGAGCTTGCGGGAGTTCTGGAGCGTCGTGGGCCTCGCGGGCTGTCTTCTACCCCGGCTGGAGGCATGGGTGCCGTCTGGGACTTGGCGTGGCCCAGCGAGTGGGTGTAGAGTGGGAGCAGAGCTGCACATGTCCCACTTGGTGTTTCGTCTGCGTCCTGATTCTGGCTCAGGGGGCCTGGCGGATGACCTGCAGGCCCTTCTCCTGTGGCCTCCTTGACGTCCTGCCTGGCCTGCCCGCGGCCCAGCTTCCAGGTCTCTGCACGCACCTGCCCTGGTCTCTTTGGGGGTTTTAATTGCATGATGGCATTTTTGAAGGTGAGATGCTTCTGTGTGGAACAGGGGTGTCCCGGGCGTGCTGGGTCCTTGGGGTGCTCTGCTCCAAGCATGGCTGGGCAGGCCTGGACTCTCGCCCTGTCCTGGCTATGGGCCCTGCAGGAGGTGGCAGAGGACGTGCTGGCGACACCAAGGTCAGCCCAGAGTCCAGAGCGAGCGGAGGCTCTGCCGGTTTTCCGTGGAGCTCCAGCCCAGCTGCGGCGCCTCCTGGGCCGTGCAGAAGGGAAGCCGCCACAGCGGGTCTGGGCCACCCGGGACACACGGTCCGCGAGTGGAGGGGCGCAGCCTCTCAGCTCGACTAACGCCGCACGATGGGAGAGAAGTGGTGTGAGGAGGCCACACCAACGCTGCACTTCCAGTTAATTCCTGGCTCCACAGAAGGTGCGTCTGGGAAAGCGGAGCCCGTGCAGTGACAGGCCCCGTCATGGGGGCAATACCAGCCCCCAGTTGGTCCACCGGACTCCACACTTGGAGAGGGAGAGAGACAGAGGGAGCCCAGAGGCCTGGACAATTTTTTACTCTAATTCCAAAGCCTGTCACTTTGCTCCTTTGATGACCAGTGAGCCTCTAAGGGTCACAGAAGACTGCAGGACACACAGTTACGTGCATTTTGGCCCCTGCCTGAGTCGAATACTGACAGCAGTGTAGCAGAAACAAGCCGGTTCAGGGCTGCTCCGGATTGTTAAGAACTGTGAGGAAGACGGACGCCGTCAGGCAGTAGCCTGGGCTTTAGAGACCAGAGACATTCAAATTCAGAGCTGCAGTGCCTGGGCCCACTGGGGAGTGGTGCTGGGTATTCAGATCCTGTTGGTGCTGAGGGCAGACAGGAGGTGGCGTCAAGGCCCCCAGCCAGCCTGCCAAAGACACTTGGGACCCGGTACAGGGTAAGTTTCAGTGCATGGCTGTGGAGATGCCCAAGACCTTGATGCCCTTACACTTGGGGACCAGGAGGCTGCCGGCTGACCCAGGTGTCAGGGAGCTGACTGCAAGGAGCCGCTGGGCAGGTGTCCCAGGTGGCCAGAGGACAGCAGTGGGGGGTGGGCTGGGTTGGGTCACCCCCACTGGCCTCGGCCTCCAGGCTTTCCTCCTCATGCCCCAGGGAGCCAAGGGGGTGAACCTGCCCCATCCTCTACACCACAGACTCAGAGATACACAGAGAAGCGCTCGCACCAGAACTGAGACCCCCATGTCAGGCTGGGGTTCTCTCTCCCTTCAGAAACTCTCCAGTGGAAATGTTGTCTGTTAAGAATAAAACCCCAAGAAACTGCTGAAATTCCAAACTCTCAGGCAAGCGTGGCTGCCCAGCTTTGAGTCTTGGACTGGCCAGCAAACCCGGCAGCACAAAACTCTCCAGGTGGCTGGAGGCAGAGAAGGTGCACTTCTTGCATGGGGAAGCCCTGCACGACTCTGCATAGTGGGGCCACAGGGTCAGCGGCGAGGGGGCAAAGACACACTGACACGGGGCAGCTGGGTCCCGCGGGGGGGCCGCGATGGGCAGCACTGGCCCCTGCGCCTCCTGGAGGGTCTCTCAACTCCCTGCTCATCCGTCAAGGACGCATTTCCATTTTGTAAATGATTTAAGTCTGAGGCTGGAAAGCTCCGACGGTGCTGATCTAGAGGCTACGGCGCATTGGGCATGGCACCGGTGGGGCGACAGGTGATCTGGTTCAGGGGCTGGGCTTGGCCAGGCTCCCATCCTCTCTGAGGACACGTAACATCTCAGATGTCTGAAAGGCGAGTTGCTGACGTCCTCCCAGCCTCTGAGGTGTGCAGAAGTGTTTCGAGGTGATGCTGAATCTTGGCAAAAAGTACCTCTCTTGTTTGGACATATCGGATCAAACAAGAAGAAAACGAACAAGTGACTCAGACAGACCACTCCTTACGAAGCAGACAACCAGGTCTGCATTTTGGACGCACTGCCCTGCGGCCATCGCTATTCTCCACACGTGCTGGGCCCTCCGCTGCCCCTGCCGGCTGTCCCTCTCACACACACAGTGCATTATTCACTCGGCCGTCACCCTTCCTGGAATCCAACTGGCAGCAACCACAATGAGGCACGCACGAGCCTTCAGGACGAGCCCCCATCGTGGCCCCACTGGCCGCTGACAGCAGCCGTACCCCCTTTCCTGGCAAGAGAAACATCCTCCCTGTGTTTGCTGTCTGTGCTGCGGAAGCCCACCCACGTCCACCTGCCCTTCAGCCAACTTTTTGATGGGCAGGGGGCCGGCAGGGCTGCAGCGGGAGGGTCATGTGATGGGCTGGGACTGGGGAGGGGGTGACCCCAGCCCAGGCTGGAGAAGGTTTTCAGAGGTCAGGGACCGAGCCCCTGGGAGGCGGTGCAGGACGACGGCTCCTTCACTGATTAAATGATTCAACATTGCGGCATGTGTGCAACTAATTAGCATGACCCACACCGAGCAAGCCTGCAGGAGCGCCCAGGCGCCCCGAGACCCGGTGCCCCGCCCGCCCCACGTGAGCCCCCAGCAGGGACCAGCACGCGACTGACTGCCCGCTGACTGACCACGCGCTGGCTCACTTTTCCTGCCCGGGGAGCATGGACGGGGTGGCAGCTCCAGCCCCGCTGCCCCTGAGTGAGCAGACTCACCATGAGCACCTTGAAGTCACTGAAGTGTGAGCACGGATGGAGACGGCATCGCTGGCTGGGTCGATTATGTCGCACCCTGCTCCCCACCAGCCTCCATGGCCGTCCAGAAGGTCACGGTACCACACGGCGGCCACAGGGTCAAGCCCTGGGCAGGGTGTCTCAGGTGACCGTGATGGGGCAGGTGAGGGTTGAGAGGCTGCACCCACCTGTGAAGACAGGGCTTGGTCAGGGTGGGCTGGAGGGTCCTGCCAGCTGGCCGGCAGCACACTCACCCCTGCTGAGGACGGCCCCAGTCTGCCCCCGACTCGCCTCCTCTCAGCCCTGCCAGCCTGTTGCAGAGTCTGGCTCAGGCTCTGTCCCTTCGGGGCATCCAGAGGTTCCGGAGACGACTGGGGGCTCCTGAGCCTCAGGGGCCTCGGGTGGAATGTGCGGGCAGCCAGGCGCTGCTCTGGGGAGCACGTCCTTCTCCATGTTTAAAATCACCCTGTGCCCACCATCCCAGCAATGAGAAACCCACGTCAGTCGTTCCAGGCTGCACAAAGCCGTATAACATGTCTGTCAGTCTAAGTCGGGAGAAGCAAGTAGACCTTGAATTAATCTCCTCACAAACAGCCAGACCCGGGAAGGCAGAACCTTCTGCCTGGATGGGCTGGACCTTGGGGGCTGGCATTTTCGCCCCACAGACACTGGTCTCGGCTATAGCTCCGTGCCGTCGGCTTAATCCAAAGTTATTCCAAATCTGCATTTGGAACAGCAGGAATTGCCTCTCGAGGTTGGGGCTGATGCCTGAGAAACGGCTGGGGGAGCGGACACTGTGGCCAGTGGGCTCTGACCTCGCCTCCCCGCCACGTCCTGCTGCTTTCCCGCCCAGGGACTCCCCCGCCACGCAGACCCCAGAGAAATGCAGCCCAACTTCTCACCTATTTTGGCAAAAACAGCTGGAGCGGCAACGGTCCTGTGCTTCCCGCTGCCGGCGCGACGCGGTGAGTTCTCCGTGCCTGGGAGCAGCTTTCCATTCCAAGAGGCGACACGCTGGAGCCTGCGAGAGGAGTTATCAACAGATTGCAGGGCTGCAGCCGGGCAACGGCGACAGGGGCTCTGCACCCGAGGGAATGAGTCAGAGCCAGGACCAGCAGACATTCAACGCGATTCTCAGCAGGCAGCTTCCAGAACTCCGGCGTGAGGAGTGCCAGCCGCCTTTGCGCCGTCTTCCGCGGGCGAGAGCCGGGATGAGGGACCGGCCGGGAAGCAGGAGCCGTAACCATGGGGATGGGGGAGGCGCTGATGGCGGCAGGCGCTGTGGCCCGCTCCCCTCGGCAGGAGGGAATGGTTCTTCCCAGCCCGCCGTCCGGCTGCCCGTCACACTGCAGAGACGATTTAAAGAGACAACCGGCCAGGTTTTGCCTTTGCTTCTGACAGAGTCGGACAGCTCACATTAAGAGGTCTCCCTGAAAGCAGGCAGAGGAGGACTGGATGATCTTGTTTGCGATTCCTGTCCACTGAGGGCTCCAAGAACAGAACAGAATATGAACAAGGAGGTTGATTTTGGAGGAATTTTCATAGTCTGTATTAAAATATTCTCAAATCCAAATATTCCCATGCTGAGGTGAACCCACAGTGAGTCCACCCCAGCATGAGTCAGCAGGGTGATCCTGCCGGTGTAGACAGGACGTGGCCATGCAGAAAAAGCCCGTCAGCCCCCTGCCCAGTCCAGGGTTCTGGGTGACAGAGCCGGGTGCCGAGAAGGAAGGCGAGCCGTGGTGGAGAGGAGCTGGGATCCAGGGACACGTGTGTCCTGCCTGCAGTGGGATGGGCTGCTGCAAGTAGGGCTAGGGGCCGGAGACCACACCCAGCACGAGTGAACGGGGGCACCTGCCGGCTTTTCCCTCCAGTCTCCAGGGTGGTGACACTGGTGCCTGCTCGGCAGTCCCCAGGCCCCTGCTGTCCCCAGATGTTGAAGGGCCTGAGCCTGCCCTTTTGGGGGTGTGCCACTGAGAAGAAGAGGATGAGGTGGAGGGCCTTCAGCTCCAGCCCCCTCAGCCCCATGCCACCTTGCCTCCGAGCAGGGTTTTCCCAACTCTCCTGTCCCCATCCCTCCTGGCATTCCTATCCCCCATCTGTGGGACGCTGTGATGAGCCCCGAACTTCAGACAAGGAATATGTGACCCCGAGGGGTGAGAGATTTCCCAGTTGCCAGGGAGTGGGTGTCAGGGCTAGGTGGAGACCCTGCAACCCCCAGGCCCAGCCCACCCTGGCTTCCTAGAGCTGCTCCCCCTGGGGCTGCAGGGCAGCCATGGAGCTCCCTGGGGGCCCAGGCTGGGGGTCCTGGACAGTGGGGGAGGGAGGGAGGCGGGAAGACCCACCCTGAGCAGGGGGGATTCTGCCCAGATTCCCCAAGTCTGGGGTGGTCCCGCGGGGCCCGTGCCTTGACCTCCCTCCCACCTGCAGCTCCCTCCACAAAGACTGTCCAGGTTCTGAGCTCAAGGTGAACACAGGTCAGCCTGCCACTGCCCTCAGGGGGCTCCCAGCCCAGAGATGACAGAAAGACAGGTGTGAACAGCCCATCATGGGGCCCAGGGCAGTGGGAAGGGAGGCAGCTGCCCGGCCTCCCACTGTCACCGGCTGTCTCTTTTGCTCTGTGCACAGCCTCGTGTGCTGTCCCTGTGCCTTCTCCCAGAGTCAGTGATCCTCCCTGGCCTCAGAGCAGGGGGGCCAGTACTGGAACTGGGGCTTCCTGAGTCCCACAGAGGTGGCTTCTGGGCGAACTTACAGAAGACGCCGTCAGGAGGGTGGGATGGGGGCCGGCCTGGCTCTGGGCGGCTCTGGAAAGCCCCTCCCTGCAGAGCCTCAGCCCCAATCTGTGTGTCCTGTGGGGCCCAAGGCTTCTAACTTAAAAACTAACCAAGCCTCAGACTTGCCTGGGGTCCAGGTGGGCGCACCCGGGGTCCTTGGGTGCTTTGGGGGCCTTGGGGGGGCACTTCGGGTAGATGGACCTGCCTGGCTGCTAGTGTCCTGACCTTGCACTTTGTGGCCTGGACCCAGTGGGGTCCGGTACCCTCAGTCCCAGCGTTAACCTGGGTGAAGGTGGAGTCCCTCAGGAGGAGCTGGGCTGTCCCGCTGCATATTGGGGGTCATCCCGGGAGCCATGTCTGCAGGCCTCTGGCTTTGTGAGAGGTTGGGGTACCGGATGAGGTGGCCCCTGCCCACACACAACGGTTGCCCCACCAGCCTGTCCTTGCGCTCTGCTCCCAGGTGACCAGGCCTCAGAGCTGCCTGTGGAGGGGTGTCTGCTCCAGACCCAGGTCTGGGGCAGGCGGTGGGGAGCGGACGCACAGCCCCAAAAGGCAGGCGGCACTCTGCACTCAACACAAAGCAACAGACTCGTGAGATGGGGAAACTGAGGCACAGAGCAGTCAGACACTTTGCTGGCAGCCTTGCTAGAGCCGCAGAGCCGGGCTGGGGCCCACCCTGCCCTTCACTGCCGCTCTGTGGAGTGTCTGGTCCTGTCTGGCAGGCGGAGGACAGCTGGCCCAGGGCTCCGGGGCCAGGCCTCTGCGCTCAGAGTGACCAGCCACTGCGGTGAGCCCCAGGTCTTCTCTCCCTGACACAGCTCAGAAGACTCAGGGGGACCCCATTCGACATGGCTGCAACCCGGAAGGCAGGGGCTCCGTGCTTCGTGGTGGGGACACGCCCTCATGTTGCTTCCGGGGCCTCAGGGCGATCTTGCCTGGGGGAGCCTGGGCCGCCATCTGCCGGGCCCTGCTGAGGAAGTAGCGGGCACGGCCCCTGAGCCCCCTCTCTGTAGCTGGTCATCTGCTTTCCAGAATTTGGAGTTGGCCCTGGAGACGGTTTTAGGACACTCCTCGCCCTTCCCAATTTCCTGATGCACCAAAAGCTCTTTTCCGAAAGAGATATTCATTAGACGCCAGCCTCCAATGGCACCGAGAACCCACTCCTGAAACGAGTGTGCATGTCTGCAGTTTAATCCACCAGAAAGACTCGCTTCATCCCAGTGAGCAAGCGTCTCAAGTGGGTCGCAGGCTCTCGGCCCCTCTCACTGCAGAGTATCAGCTTCCCTTCCAGAAAGTTCAGTCTTCTGGCACGTTCTGTGAGTCCAGGACTGCCCACCGAAGGCCCTTACACCTCAGGCGCCAGGGTGAGCGACTCACTCCTCCCAGGAGCCTCCGAGGGATGTGGGTGGCTGCCTGCTCTCCGAGGGGTAGCTGGGGTGTCCTGCCAGGCTCAGCATGGGGCTTGCAGCTGGGGCCCTGCCTGGTCTTGGGGGACAGCCATGGGGGCTGAGCCCACCCCAACACCCAGAAAGAGCGGGTCGGCTGCCCTCGCCGCAGTTGCAGGGCCAGAGACCTGGGTGTCCACCCCCAGGGTGCTCAAGGCAGACCGGGCTTCTCTCTGCACCTTCTGACTTGGGGAACCTACAGGCGAGAGCAGGACACAGGCCTGGTGCCGATCTGGGGCTGCCTCAGGACGGCCTCACAATGGACAGAATCAGAGGTCAGACGCAGGGTCTGGGGGTCAGATCAGGGAATCATGGACACCTGCTTCCTTCTCTCCTAGGTGAGCGTGCGGCCCCCACCCCGACGTGCGCAGGGTTCTTGCTAAAAATACAGAATTGCTGGTGCAAGAATGGCTTCAGGTCGGCTGCTGACGTCTCAGGCCAGACTTGCCTCTCTTCGGAACATTTTTGATATCTTTGGAGTTGTCAGCTTTCCAGCGCTTGTGTGGGAATTCTGAGACCCTGGAATTGAAGAAGCCTGAGGACGCTGGAGATGGAGATGGTGTTTCCGGGCGTGTGGGCAGCCTGGCCCTGGAGGCTGCGGGCTTCAGGCCTCGGCATCCTGGCTCATGGAGCGGAATTAAAACCGCTCTCTGGTTGCCGTGGCAACCAGCCGTCTCCCCCCACAGCGTCAGGTTGAATTTGTGCAGACCATTTCTACCAAAGATTTACGCCAACAAATCCATTCTGCCCTGAGCTGAAGCCTTGTTTGAGAGCCAAATAATAAAATTAACAAACTTAGAACATTCTTGAGGATGCCCTTCCTTGCATAAGCGTCGCTGGAGTGACAGAGAGAACCAGGTTGCCGTCCCAGGCCCACGGGGAGGCTGCTGAGGGGTTCGGGGCAGCTTCTCGTCATTTGTGATAAACAGGCAGCTTTAGGATGTTTGCGGCCCCCAAGGAATGAGGGTCTCAGTGGCTGTCACCTCTGACTGGCATTGTGTGGAGTCTGTGCCCATGCACGTCCCTGCCAAGCCTGCCCCGCATGTCCAGGCTTGTGGGTCAGGGACACACAGCCCTCTTGGCCACGGGGTCAAGCTGGGCGTGGGGTGGAGTGGTGACTGCACAGTGAGTGGAGTCGTCCCAGGAGCTGTGGGTAGGGACACCTGTCCTTTGTTTCTGAGGGCCCGGTGCTGGCCCAGACACCCCCTGACTTCTGGGGGCTCTAACCCCGGCCCTGCTGTGTCTTAAGGGCCCACGAGAAGGGCCACTCTGAGAAGACACTTGGGGAGAGGAAGAGTGGGGGACGTGTGGGGAAGAAAGCTCTCAGGTGTTGACAACATACCACCTGTTTCTCTTTTCTCCTTTCTGGGAATTTTCAAGTTGTTATTCAATTTCTCGTTCCCTTCCTCCCCTCAAATCACATTTTCTTTTCTCCTTCTTAGTCCTCCATGCCTGCAGCCCAACCCTGGGCCCCTCCTTCCTTCAGGGGAGTGTCCGGGGCTACGTGCACCCAGGACTCCAGGTGGGCTCTAACCTGGGGCTGAGGGCGGTCTCGGGCAGAGCGGGTGCGGGGAAGGCTCTGGTCTTGTTGGGGGCACCAGGGCACCAGTTTGCCTGGAGAGGTTCACGTAGGAAGAAGAGCAGGATGCTATTTGTGACAGGGTGGGAGGGCCAGGCGCGGGAGCACTTCTTGCTGGTTCTGTAGGTGCTGGGGAGTCACGACGGGCATGGGGGCAGAGTAAGAGGGCAGGTGATGTTTGATGTGCTGGGACTTTGCTCAGACTCCTGGGCACCTGCCCCCTCTCAGCTCCCTCCTCCGTTGTCCCCGAGGCCCCACCCCTCCCACTCAGGACACGGCCTCCCTCCCCACGTCCTGGGTTAGTCCATCGATGGGACTCTGCTGACCCCATCTGCTGTGTGTGAGGGGCACATGCTGTACAGCCACAGCAGAGCACGGTCCGCAGTCTGGCACCCCAACAGCGCAGCCCGCAGCCAGGGTGGGCCTCACGCGGTGGAAACACGCAGCTCCATCCGTTTGGCTGTGGGAGAAGGACACGTCTGAGCTTCCCTCATGAACTGTAAAAACACAACACTTGCTGGTGGCCATCTCCAGGCAGAAACACGCGTCTGCCCTACAGATGCTCTCTGTGACCTGTGACCCCAAGCTTTAAATGAGCCTCTGACCTCTGTCACCTCTGAGGGCCCTGGACACACACGGCAGCCCTGCTAAGGCCTGAGCCCTCTACATGGAGTTGGGGTTCAACAGACCGAGAGCACCCCTGTCAGTGACTGGTGGAGACACACTCCAGACCTGCATGTGGTGGGGGGGAGCATGGGGGGGCGGTGCGGAAGCCTCACAAATGCCACCATGGAAACCTTCACCCGGGGCAGACGTTAACTGCGGGGTGCGGGCAGGATCGCAGACTCACCCGTCTCCCGCATTCCCCATCACGTGGATGGCAGAGCACACAGCCCCGACGCTGGCCTTGTGGAGGTGGAAGGAGCACGTGAAGTTCTTCAGTCTCACGCAGACAACTTCTTCTGGACTCAGGTTAATGTGGGTCCCGGGACGTCTGTGAGCACGCAGCTTCTATAACCAGGGTTTTCTGCTTGAATTTCCTGCATCGAATCATGGCTTCCTGCCCTGTTGCCACTGAGCCTGTGATCTCACACATGGGATCGGGGTGAAAACAAGAACACTCAGCGGTCAGAAGGTTTACACTTGAGGGGCTCGTCCAGTTTCCAGACCTGAATGGTTAACCCTTGTTCACGTTTCATGGGCCTCCTGGGACTGGAGCTGCTGTCTTGGAGGGTCTGGTCCTCTCTGTGGGGCTGAAGTCACCTTGGGGCCCCCCAGGAGTGCAGTGGCTCTGGGACTCTCCTTCCTTGAGGGCCTTTCTCTGCCCACCCCTGCTCTGTCAGGGCTGGATGCCACTCCTGCAGCCACATCCTTGGATGGTGGACACAGGGAGAAATGGGCCCGGCCCACACTGCACCCCTCAGAGTCCTGCTCAGAGGAGGCCCAAGGAGGACAAGGCAGGCGACGCAAGAAAGCCTGCCTCCATCCCACAGGATTGGCCACTCGTACGTCCACGCTTCCAGCACCCCCTCATCCGCCCGCTCACCCACAGCCCTCACTACCTCTGATATTCATGTAACGCCGTCCGTGACCCAGTGTTGGGGAGGGTCAGGCCCAGAGTCAGCCGTCTGACTTGGCGGGCTCCGGACAGCGTAGGGTGCAGCCCCTCCCTGGGGACCGGGCGAGGAGCCCCAGCTGCTGGGGAGCCGTCCCTGGTGCTGCTCAGAATGCGCCTGGGCCCGTCCCTGCTGCCCTAGCCCACACGCCCAACGCGCCCTCGATCCAGCTCGAGCCTCCTGGCTCCACCATCTGACCTGCCTCCGCCTGGCTGGCCCGTCCAACATGGCCGGCTCCGACCGTCCTCGCCAGCTCTGCTCTCCTGGCCGCTGCTGCCCCGGCTGCCTCCTGCCCGGTTCCTGTCAAGGCTTCTGGCTTTTGGGCCAAAGCAATTTCACCAAATTAGATCTGGTCGAAAGCAAGTCGCTCTACCTGGCAATTTTGTTAAAATAATGATTTGTTTGAAAATTAATATTCCCGAGTCACTGGTTTTCCTCGTATTAGCAATTTTGGCACACCACAGGACAGTTCTTTATGTC